TACTAAATAGTCTTTATTAATAACTAGGCGCAATTGAATAAATAATAACAAAAAAAAAATAAATGAAAATAAGATATATATATGTAAGCGTCATTATAATGTATGTTATCGCTCCAATAATGACTTCAGCTAAAACGATCGGGTTGTACTGCATTTTGGTTTCTGTCGTTGCTATCGTTTCTGTTTTTGTAGAGCTACGTTAGTTGCTCTTTTACCCGCAATCGTACACTTTTTTACTAGTACCGGGAACAACAACAAACATAAACAAAATAAGCAGGCGATTTTTGTTGTCTTTTAGTTTATTTGCTTGTAAAAGTAAAAAAAAAAAGTTGAAATGCATGGGTATGGGTTAGTGTATTGTACGGGAGTATCGCAGATTTCTGTATCGACATTTTTGGGTTTGTTTTTTTTTAAACGTTTTCCTCAACGAATTCGTTAAAAGTTGACAACGTCGGTGTTAGTCAGCTCTGCTATTGGGCGTTGTAGATTACACGTTACCGTTGGATTCACGACGATTTTGAGTTTGCCGCAGCGATTTGAGGTGTTCGCAAAATTAATAATAATAATGATGGATCAGTAGTCGGGTCTGAGTGTCGCTGTGTTGTTTCGAGTGTGTTTCGTTATCCGTCTTGTAAAATTTAAAAATCGCCTGAAATAGCAGGTGTACAATTAAGTTTTTATATTTCAGTATTTATATTTAAAAGTTACGTATGGACAATTTTCAAATGTTTATCATAGAAATTCCTAAAAAACAAGTTAACAATAATTGCATAATTAAGAAATAAAAGACCAATCTGAAATCTGATTTTTAAAGTTGTCGGTACATTTCATGGGTCAAACATTGAGTGCATGTTGTGGGCGAACGCTTATAATTAACGAAACGAAAACTTGCAATAATCCAGGTATCGTTAGGATATTAATTCCGGAGCATGCACTACGCAATCAGTACCAGAGGCACACCTTCATGTCCGCGTTACGCACAGTACACACATACATAAACCTTCATACTCATACATTTGCAATTACCTCAAAAATTTTACAAATTCAGAATTTATTGTTATCATTTAATTGTCTGTGGATGTTAAGCAAACCTACGCTGGGTGGTAGTGGGTGTAGTGACTGTAGGGTTGTAGTGGTTGGGTAGGTTAATGTGGCTAAACTTTAAAAAGTATAAACGTTCCAATCGCACTTCACTTATGAAAACCGAAAGTAAAAATCGATAATTAAAGCAAATTTTATTCAATTCACAAAATTTAGTTTCAACTCAACATTAATTAAATGATATCTTTCTTTCATTTACTTATTTTCAATCAATTATGTATGTATTCCTTTGTAAATTTGGAAACCATTGTCAAAATTAAATAACCATTCAATGCACAAAAGAGTAACATTTGTAAAAGAAAACTTGAAATATTTGATGGTTTAAAATCAAACTGGCGGAACGCAACAAACAATAAAAATATGATTTACAAATAAGCTGGGTTTGATAAACCTTATAATGTGTAGCTTAGACAAAGGTTAATGTCTACAGTTAAAACTATGTGGGGTGTGAGCAACATAAAAAACCTACATTCAGTTCCTAAAACCGAAGTCTAAGTCTAATTCCTGACGCTGAGTTAATTCCACTAAGTGAAACAAATTATAGCTAATTTACCTACTTCTAACTCAGAGTTGAAATTAACATCCTACACATAAGTATACGAGTCGAAAAATCTAGTCACACTTGTATACAGCATAGACAGTTAGTTGTCTATGTCTTCATTATTGCTCTTGTTTTTCTAATGCGATCAATTAATATGATTTACTTGCTTCTCAAGTTAATATAGGGATCTCGAAATGATGAATACTCAGTACTAAAAAATTAAATCGTTGAAGCAGCACGAAATATTGAGTGAAGCTTTGACCAAACTAGATTTCTATAAACTAAGAGTTATTATGCACCATCTCCGGAATTTTATTATTTATTAGCTTTTGCCAATTTATTTATAAATATAATAATACAAATATAAACACCAATTATACGACTTTGAGTCAGTTGGTTAAGGTGCGCTGACTCTGAGCATCAATTTTGGCAGGGCACAAGGTAGATTCCTGGTACTTAAGGTTTCCAAGACCACTGATGATGGGTATTTGGCAATACTCGAAACAGCTAAATATATTAAATAATATGTAATTTAATATATGTATTTTTATTGGTAGTTATTTCTATACCAACTTCGCTTAGGAGCTGCATATCTATATTCGTTATGTAATTTAAATCTGCGGATTTTTTTAAAACCACTAACCAAAATTTAAGAGTCTTAAATCTGATCTGATATTAACCTTGTTTACATGTCTGTCTTATTACTTGAACCACAGCTTTGAGTACTGCTGCAATAAGTATGACATTTGACATATGTGTGTCAAAAAGTAAGAGGAATATGCATTTACAGCTTAGCTATCTATAGTTTTTGCTGTTTTACATGTGTGTGTTGTTTTTAAACTCTCTCATAACCCATTGACACAAGAAGAAGGCAAAAATTGTTATAATTGCCATCGATGTTTATATGTTTACTTAAATATTCTTATTAGAACTGTGCCAAGGTTTAGTTGCACTGTAGGATCAGTTAGATCCGGCCCGTTCTATTCAATAATTTTTGCTAGAGTTGGGGGAAAACATAAGAACCAATTGAATTTTAGTTTCATGAGGTATACGTAAGAAAAATTTTATATTGCATTGCATTTTTTGTGTGCTTAATATTTGGTGATCGGATTGAACTTGTGTGTTTATGTTGTTTTGTGTTGTGTCATTAGTTTCTGTTATAATTAATCACTTTTTCTGCGTTGTGAAGTTTACATTTTCTACGTCACTTTCCGCGCTACGTCCACGACAACTAATTCAGCTTTAGCCTAAAATCTTTTTTTACTCAATGATTAAATAGAGGTTGTGTTTCTGCGAGATTTTTTATATTTCCAAGATAAAAAATTATGTTTTAAAGAAACCATAAGTTAGCTGTTTTTATATTTATTTTTATAAAAATATATTTATTTTACGCACACTTTTTCATTTTTAAAATTGTGCCGACTAGCTTAAATATGTACATATGCACATATGTATGTATATGTTCCTGATATTTGAATTGGGCTAATAGTAAGATATAAGTTATTTACTTAGTCAGTCTTTCTAAATATCAATTGAATATTTATTAGTTCGAAATATTCTTAAAATTTAAGTAAAAAATTAATACCAAAATGTTACATACAATCTAATATGAAGAATAAATTTTTTATCATCCTATACACACACAACTTGCGATTAAAATGAAAGAATTTGTAAGTTAGACGGATTCGAATAGCAACGAAAAGACAAGGGCAAAAGTTTTATTTAATTTATTGAAATTTGGCTGACCATACAACGCTGTTTCGAGTATTGTCAAGTACTCATCATCTCATCAGTGGTCTTAGGAAATAATAGAGAAATTCTATTATTTCTTAATTAATTTATAGTCCGTATATAATTTGTTTAGATTGGTACTTGCCGTTCAAACTATTCAAATCCGTCTAACTTTTAAATAGTTTTTTTTTTTGGTCATAAAAACGCGTCACTCTTGGCAAGAAAAAATTAATATGAAAGAATTTTTGTTTTATGGATATGTTCTAGTTAATGTCATATATGTAATTATAATTTGGCGTACTCTTTTTTATTTTTTAAAATTTTAAGACTATACAAAGTCACATCTTTTCAAAATGTAAATTTGTAATTACTTCATTATAATCAACTTTTATTGTTACACTTAATGTGTCAATTTATATAAAAGTGTTCTTAGGGATGTACAAAGGTAAAAGAAACTATCATATGTAATGTATAAAGCAATGGCCGTCCATAAACGAATAAGGCAATTTTTATGCACAGAACTGTTGTATAAAAACACTATTTTTAATATACTCGTAAGTTTCAGTCTAAAATTTTGTTGTTGTTGTAGCCCAAGTGACAGGACAATACCCCTGTTGGGGTGGTTCTACAAGGTATTAGTGATAAACCTCTCCACTACACAAATATAACGTTCATTAACCACATTTTTTGCAATTAGATAGTAAAGAAGAAGCATCAATGGCTTAAGAGATATTTTATATTAATATATGGAATTCCAAATGTTTTCTAGTATTCATATATCATAATTGTTTGTGGAAGAATTTTTTACATTAAATGTGGCACAGATTTCTTTTATGTATTGGTTGCGCACGGGCATTTACAATTAGTGATCATCTTAGAATCAGGTTAAATAATACATCTAACTAATCCTGAATATGAGATTTAGTTTTATTTTAATGTTTATTTAATGTTTATTTCTTAAAAAGAATTCCAATTTAAGTTATTTTAAAAAAGACTAAATAGTGTATATAAATCCGCAATACTGCAAAAATAAAATCTTATCAAGTATATTTATGCACTGTCATATCTAAAACCATATGTTTCTTACGTTTTATTTACTTTGAATGTTGTTTTTTTTTTATTATTTTTTTTTTTTTATATAAAAACATGTCACAGTTACAAACCACATGCCTAAATGATTTGTAATGCTTTTTATGATGACTACAACGCTTAATATATATATGTATATATATATAGGTATATATTTGCTATTGATGTTTTCAGATGTATGATTCACTGTCAAGCGCAGCAAGCGATTAATATTTCACTTCAGTACGAGTATCTTGAAATGTTGCTTTTCATTCACAAATATATTTTCTGAGTGGTACACATAGCTTTCCGTAATACTTAAACAGTTGCAAACCGCATACAAGTCGAGCTGGTTTGTTTGATTTATTTTATATCTAATAAATGCGAATATTAGCAGTAAGCACTATTTAAATAAACGTTTGCCATTTCAGTATTTTGCAATATATATACATACAATATAGAAACCATTGAAAATATATATCTTTAGTGTAAATAGTTATATTATTTCTTAATTGTTGATTTGATTTGTGTGCAGATTGTGATCCCGATTTGAAACCTTCTGTTGCTGAGAATCTTGAGCATTTGGTTAATCGTTTGGAAAAGCTTGTTGAGAGGTTGGAACGTTCTGTGTCAACACGTGAATTGGAAATAGCAAATCAGACATTTGACTCAGTATTGGAGAAAAAACGAGAAAGTTTTGATTTGGAAACAGCGGATTTGCCACCAGCTCCAGTGGAGTCATTGTCACAGCAATTAACACCTCTCGCCGAAAACCTTAATCAGCGCATTGAACGTATTGAAACTACACTAAACAAAATCAACGATATCCACAGCAATAGCATTAGCGGCGCTAGTCTCACACACAACAGTGAATTACATAGAGAAGGTAGTCTCGAAAATATACCTACTGTACTCTACGACTATCAAACATCTAACGCTTTAGAACAAGAAGAAGTACCACTACCAGCACCACCCAGTATGAGTGTATTAGGCTTTCAGGATATTATAAATGGCCCATTGAGCCAATATTTGGCGCTTTCAGCTAGAATTGGTGGCGATGTAGCCAAACACGCCGAATTGGTAAAATTGGCTTTTGAGTAAGTAGTTGTATTGTGGATCACTCTTAAAACGAGTTAACTTTTTAAAATCTTTAATAAATTTTTCAGCGCCCAGTTGCAGTATGTCACCATCGCTTCGCAGTGTGCTAAGCCCAGTCAAGACAAACAAATGGATTTGTTGAAACCAACTTCAGTGCAAATTAGTGCTATACAAGATTATCGAGAAAAGAATCGCCCTTCACCGTACTTCAATCATTTGTCTGCTATAAGTGAAAGTATTCCTGCTTTGGGTTGGGTTTGTGTAGTATGTCGAGTTATTTTTTCACGTTAAACACAAGTCTTTAATGAAAATTATAAATTTTAGGCTCCAACTCCTGGACCTCATGTGAAAGAAATGAATGACGCTGGTCAATTCTTTACGAATCGTGTGCTCAAAGAGTGGAAGGAAAAAGATGTCTCACATGTTGAATGGGCACGTGCATGGATACAAACATTGACTGAACTGCAAGCTTACATTAAACAATATCATACAACTGGTCTTGTTTGGTCCGGTAAAGGTAGTGTACCAGCAGGTGGTGCCGCACCACCACCGCCACCGATGGGTGCTTGTCCTCCTCCACCACCGCCACCAGTATTTGATTTAGCGGCCATGTCGCTTGATGGTGGCGATGAACGCAGTGCGTTATTTGCACAAATTAATCAAGGAGAGGGTATCACTAAAAGTACGTTCAATTTTTTTTAGCTCTTTGCATTTAGTATATAAGTACTTTTAAATATATATTCACGTATACATATACCTATATACCTATATTTGGCATATATATTCACGTACTAGTTTTTTAGATTTGAAAAAGGTGACCGCTGATATGCAAACGCACAAGAATCCGACATTGCGTACTGGACCAGCACCATTTAAGACACCTACACAATTTGGTTCCATAGCTGGAGCTGCACCTGCATCAAATGCTGTAAAGGAACCTGTATTTACTCGTGATGGCAAGAAATGGATTATTGTATATTAGTTTTACATTTCTGTTGTTCACTGTTAATATATTTATTTCTTATATTTTTCACTCAAGGAACATCAAAATAAAAACACCGGCTTATTGGTAGAAAATGCTGAAATGAACAATGTTGTTTACATGTTCAAATGTGTAGGTTCCACTCTTACTGTCAAGGGCAAAGTGAACAACATTGTTATGGATTCATGCAAGAAATGCTCTCTGCTTTTTGATTCAGTAGTGGCATCAATTGAATTCGTTAATTGTCAGAGCGTACAAATGCAGGTTAGTTGAAAGAAGAAATATATTAATATATAGTAACATTTGTATCATGCGTAACATAAAAAATAATTATTATTAGTATCAGTATGTGCATTTCGTTAGACTTTAAATAGCAAAGTTCTAAAAAATTTAGTCCTAAAAAAAATTGTAAAAAAAAAAAATTAAATTAAATTTTTTCTTTGAAAAACAAAATATTTGTAAATATTTGATTTAATTAAATGTTTTATTACTTAATATTAAGGTTTAATTTAATATATATTTATTTGAACTTATTTTACAATTAATAATTATATATTGATTCATCGAATGTACTTTAATCGCTAGAAAATATCAGACTAAAAAAACCTGAAAAAATCATTACAGTATAAAATAGTTTATTTATAGTATCTATTAAATAATAATGTATTTATTTAATAAAAAAAATTTCAGACTTTGGGCTTCGTACCCACAATTTCAATTGATAAAACTGATGGTTGCCAAATGTATTTGAGTAAAGATTCACTAGGTGTGGAAATTGTAAACTCAAAATCTTCTGAGATGAACGTTATGCTTCCTGACGCCAATGCAGACTATGTAAGTTATATAAAACATATTTAGAAACAAAAAGTTCTATTTCAAATTTACTTTTTTGCAGACTGAGTTGGCATTGCCTGAACAGTTTAAGACAACTATTACAGGAAAAACTCTTAAGACTGTTTGTGTTGATAGTCTTGGTTAAACTCTTCTAACATTATACAGAATGAAAGAACAAGCAAAAGTATATATATAAAAGTTGAAATATTACAAAAATTATTCAGAAAATCAATTACAAAAATAACCAAAATCAAACTTCGACATTTATAATATACAATATGAAACAAATGCATAGCTACAATGAATTGTACTCTTACTGATGCGCAATTAGCCAACCATACTTTTTGATATCATTATTATAAAATACTTTAAAAACAAAACTAAAACAAAAATTTTAAATGAAACTGAAAAGTAAATAAATTAATTATAAACAATATTTATGATTTGCATTAAAGTTTATTATGAACACTTTAACATATAATTAAATATTTTATATATTAAGTTTCCACAATTATAAAAATATCTTAATAGAATCATTTTAAATTTATTATCTATTGTATTATTTACTGTTAATATCACATTTGTGTTTTGTGTTGAATGTAAACGTATTTTGTCCCATTTTTGGTTTTTTGATAAATGAAAATTTTTATAATTTATTAAATATTATAAATTGTTCACGTTCGATGATTTAAAGATTATATTTACAAAAATTGAATAAGAACTTCTTTAAACTTAATAAATTCGTCATTGTTTGAAAAATTTGAAATATTTTTAAATAAAAAATTTTATATTTTCTTAACATAATCTTATGAATAATTTTCATACTAAAAATGGTAATTTATTTATATACATATATTCTACTTTTTAAAGTTTCTAGTAAATCGATTTTTTAAAACACATTTTTAAAAACAATTTAATTACTAAATATGTAATAAACTAAAAGAAATTAAATAAAAGAGCGTTTTGTCTTACAAATGTTATCGTGTTTTCCTCTGGTGAACTTTGAATTGTAAACTTGAATTTTAAAATATGTTTTGCATATGTTTTAAAACATTATTTAAGGCTATATAAATTTATGTAAACTATATATACTTTTTATATATATTCATTTTTAATTTGGTGTTAATCCTTATAAAGAATAATTGATTTATAGTTGCTAAAGTCCGACGTTGATTTTAAAATCGGCACATGTCAATATCGTGCCTATGTTGAGACTTAAGTTTCAACAAAAATGATCGAATAATTGTTAATTATTTAGTACATTACAATTATAGACTATTATATGGTATATATAATAGGCATAACCAGTAAGTCCTTCAACTTAGTAGCTTGTACTGAATGGTGAAAACGGCTGTTTTCATTCACATAAATTAGTTAATTGTAACGTACATTGCCAAAAAATAATGTTGAGCAATAAATGTTCCCTAAAGTGTTCAATTCTGATAAACTACGCCAATATTGTTGTTCAATATTTATTTGCTAATTGTATTTTTGTCACATTTTTGGGTTTACGAATTTTCGTTAATAGGTATATGTAGTTATTCGATAAAGACAATATTTAATTAAGCATATATATCGTTTACGTTAAGGAGAACTCCAATTGAATCCTTTTTTGTTCACATTCAAGTTTTAAGAACGCGTGCTGCTCCAATTTTTGTTTTTTTTTTTTTGCTGTAGGCGGAAAGCATCGAAGACCACAGTGTGAAACTTGAACCCACTAAAACCAACTCTTAGGAATGAATGGAGAAGATTTCAACAGCATTGGGGAAATTTTATTCCAGTAATCAGGGAAAAAAGATGTGAACAGATAGTCTTAATACCTAGCGAGCTAGGTTCATCTAAGCCAGAAAACAAGAGCATAAATTAAGGAGGTAGGTGAAGGGAGTGGGATTAAAGCGCATACGCGCGGGTGATTGCTGCTCCGATCGACTAAAGAATCAGTATTAAAGGTAAAGCTTCTTTTTTTCCGTCGTTTCCAAAAATAAACAAAAATTGAAAGTCAAAATCGGGTTGCACATCGACAAAAAAAGTGAAATAGCACGCGCTCTCTTGTATTAAGCATTTAATAAATTAATAATGTAATAATTTATTTAATTAACCATTTAACAATGAAATAATATGTAATGTGCATAATTATTTATTCCCATTAATGGGCGTTTTAATTATCTAGAGCTTCAGCATTTCGCCAATGGGTTCTATGAAAGTAGCCCTTTTGGTTTTGAAACAGACTCATCTAATGAGTGCTGTTGCTTCACTATAGAATTATTGTTTATTGACCTGTTGTTTATTGTTTATTGTTATTGATCTGTCAGCTTTAGATGTTAAAAGCTTTTCTCTTATATTCTTTTAATCACAATGTGTGCACGTAAGTTGAAATTGTAGAAGTGAAAACATTTAAAAATTTTCGAATTAATTTTTTGGAGATCCATATAATTTTTTATCTCTGTTTCTAATGTGTTTACCAGAAATACATTGGAAAGATATTTTATATCCATATTTGTACTACATATAACATTTGAATGGAAAACAATGAAAGTTCATTTAGCGATTTGGTTTTTTATATTTAAATTTTGTGCTATAAGATATATATATATGTATAATTAAACAAGTTTATATTGTAGTTTTCTTTGAACTTTTAATTTCATTTGTCTTTTTTTTTGTCCACATATCCAAAATCGTCATATAATGTTCACTTCTAACAGTTTAAAGTAAGCAGCAATAGTTTAAGTTCTTTCTTAGTCTTTTGATCTGGAGTAATATATCTGGTAACTAATCTTTGATTCAAGCTTTCCTGAGAATCGCAAGGTAAAGTGGAAAAAAATTGTTCAAAATTGTTTCGGCTGTATTCATATTAGTCCCCATTATGCGCTCTCAGTATCAGTATGTGCTTTCTTTACTTCGGAGACTTGATCAGCACATACAGTTCATTAACTTAATATGCTGCTATACAATTTATATCATATTCTGCAAGTACTTAACTATATCATATTGATATAGCCAACGTTCAGAGCGACGTACCCAATTATGATTATTTGGAACCCATGGATGAGGATTGGTCATAACCAATAGTGTTTTTGCATAAAGTTCTGAGCGTTGTAGTCCATTGTAAACGTAATTTCCCGTGACTACTATTATCTCGGGCTGAACCAACTTCATTTCTTTGCAAAGAGCTTCCACCAATAAATCTCGCATTGGATATTTTATTTCAAACTAAATGTTTATATATTGATTAAAATAGTATATAGAAGAATTTGTAAGCCTATAGTTACCGGTAATACACACGGTTCAATAGTTCGGCCATATTCATTAAAGAATAGCAATGGACAAAACGTATGTACAAAACATTGTTCAGAGAATGTATCCAAGGAACCTGCTATTTTATCCATTAGACCCCAGAAACGTACACCACTGGGTTCGTTTATGTGGCAATTAAGTCCAAGAACAGGATGCTTAGGGTGTAAACGGTTGGGTTGCTTAACTTCACCACAAAGTTTCATCATATCGCGCACAGTTGACACATTGCCAAAAGGAACCTGGAGAATTAAAATTTAAAAATGAGCATACGATGGTTATTTATTAGTAAATTTTTTTTACCCCTGTTTGCGCCATACCATTCTGTTCGGGATGTACGGCCAAAAATACTACACGTTTGGGTCTATCGAGATACTTGCGTAAATACTCACAATGAAGATCAGCTGCATATTCAACAGGATTATAAATATGCGTTATGTCTTCAATGGGTGCTCGATAATGGCGCAATTTCTCATTTAGTTCCTTTTCAATTTCATAGAACTGCTGCCATAATGGCACTTCAGGTTCAGGTGATGGAGGCCTTGGAGCTTTCGAAACCGCCTTAGTATCTTTAGATTCATCATTACTGCTGATGTCTTCTACTGTTGTCACTTTACGACTTTTATGCATCTTAAATGAGTCCTGGGTGGGTGGTTAATATTCACAAACTTCAAAATTTTTCTTCTTACAGATTTAAGCGTACCAATGATGGTCTTGCGATCTCAAGTAAGCAAATTAAAATTATGTAACCGATCAGAAGAATTTGAATTTTAAAATGAGCTTAAAAAATATTTATTTAATTTACTTTAAATATACATATGTATATACAAGCAATTCATGTAAAACTTTGTGAAAAATTTATTTTTTAAATTGGAAAGTAAAAATAATTATAAATTCCCTGTGTTTTAGATACTCTTGTTAAACATGCATGTATATTGCCTCAAAAGGATTGAGTTACAGCGTTCAGTCCGGTGCATAGTTGTGCGATAATGTGCGATCACTATTTAATAATGCGAGCCCCTGGAAGCGAGTACTCAAAGCAACATGTCTGATTGCATTTAACATAGAAAATGTCAGCGCAATCCTTGTCGTCCTCAATCCAAGTTATCGCACAGCCTCCACGTGGCACCCTTGGATAGTTATCTGGCACCCGCTTGGTAATAAACTAATAGTGTACAGCGAGTGCTATCCTCAGAACCTTAAATTAGGGTTGTGCACAGAGTTTGGCACCCATCACGTAAAATCAGCCGCCAATGAAGGACGCAAGCATGCTTCGGAACTGTAAACCGATTAACGTTAACGACCAATGCAAACGCTTAAAGGACAATGATTTACAGATATGCACCTTCTATAAGGAAGGTACCTTTATTTAACTGGCAGAAGCCCTCATAACAGCAAATTTCGGGAGCCCTATAAGGGATCACGTTTACGATTCAATGTCCGAGCTCGGTATCCCGGCAAAGTTAATACGACTCTGCAGAATGACGATGAGAAGTACCCGTAGCTCCGTCAAGGTAGGATCGAGACTCACCGAATCTTTTGATTCCGTGCGAGGCTTCAGACAAAGTGATCCCTTATTATGTGATCTTTTCAATTTCGTCATGGAAGCCATCATGCGCAGGGCAGGTGTTCATTGTAATGGAACAATATTTTGCAAATGTGTGTAGCTTCTTGCTTATGCCGATAATATTGGCATCAATAGGCGTAGCAAGCGTGATGTTAAAGCTGCTTTTACTGCTATCGAAAAGGAATCTGCGAGAATGGGCTAAGCGGTAAATGAGGTCAAAACGAAGTACATGTCCGCTATTGATAGAAATGTGCGTCGCTTGGATGGCGAGCTAGAGGCTGACGACTCTACTTTCGAATCTGTCAAGGATTTTATCTACCTTGGTACCACCGTAAGGAACTACAATGATGTCAGCCTGGAGATCAGATGAAGAATCACCATTGCTAATAGATGCTACTATGAGCTCAGTAGGCAATTGGGATGTAGAGATCTTTCTCTCTCAATAAACGAAACTTACGCTTTATAGGTCGCTCATCTTTTCCATGTTTCTGTATGGCGCAGAAGCATGAATGTTATCATAGAATGATGAAGCAGCACTAGGAGTACTCGAGAGAAAAGTTCTTCGTAAAATCTTGGGTCCTCTACAAGTTGGAGACGACTACTGCATACGAATGAACCACGACCTGTACGAGCTTTATCACGACATTGATATAATTCAGTGAATTAACATCCAGAGGCTTCGCTGGCTTGGTCATATAGTGAAAACGGATGCAGAAGCATGACTTTCAAACTATATTATACATTTCTATTGTATTATCTCTTATTAAAAAACTTTTCCATTATAGTAAATTTATCGTTCTGCAAATTGCTTCGTCTGTTATTTAATCCTGTCTCCCAAGTAATTCAGAATAGGGGAATTCTATTCTAGGAAGAAATAAATTTTGGGATAAGCTTATTCCCTGAGTATATTTAGAATAGGGTTCCATATCTCTATTATTTTTGCTTTTTCACTCACATTTATAATAAACCGGATGACAGTTTTTTAATAGGATAAGTAGATATAATAATAAGTCGTTTACATTTATCGTTATCTTAAAGTCAACTTGATTCGGAGTTGAGTTTTGGGGAGCGATGACCAGAAAGTGAGTCATGCAGACGATATGAAACCCACACTATTACAACGATTTATAAAAGTAGAATTTATATGTTTGTATATGGGATTTATAAGATAGTAAGCCCTATATAAGTGTGTGGCACAGAAGTCCTCACTGTCATGAATTTTTTCTGCGTACATAAGTGTAAGCAGTTGTCAATGCAATACCTAAGATATTAGTCTCGTAGCTATTTAATAATGAAGTTATGAACAAAAGTACTACACCGAACTGGTATTTGACGATTTAGTAATTTTAAAAATACTTTGTTTTAATATCTTAATAGGATTGAACGAGTCTTGGTCTTCAACAACTTTAGTTAACAGAACTATTTTGATATGTTATTATTTTAACTTGCTTTGTTGGCGTATTTGTTAGACCCCTGGTGCGATAGGTGAACTTTGATTAGCCATCCGTGCTGACATAGAACTTGTCTAACTGCGAACGAGACGTAGATCCTGTTGCGCCTAGAACCGTTCTAACGATATAATCATCTGCAGCCAATTTTTTATGTAATGTACATAAACATGTATTTTATTTAAATCAGTTTTTAATAACACAATAAAATTATTCGGCGGAATATATTTTAACAGTATACAGCATTTTCGATTGTTAGTCGAGCAATAGATATTTATAGGAATGACCACAAGATTATTTTCCATTTAAAAAAATTCGTAATAAATATATGTAGACTTTAATTACAATATTGAACATAAAAATAAAATGCGAAATTAAATATAATTTTGAAATCGTATGGTAGATACTTAATAATTAAATTAATAATTGAAATTCATAATACAAATTGCAAATTGCAGTCGAATGTAGCTCACATCCATCATCAGCAATGCAAATTCAAAAAATATTAATTTGTTTTCCATTTTCCAGAAATGTGGACTCAATTATATCAGCTGATCTTTATAATTTTTTATACTCAATGCGTTCAACTTTAACTTCATCGCCAATGAGCTGATATACGTACGTTACAACTGTAGAGCTTTGTATGTCCATTAGTACAAAAGATGGTATTACGCGAGTGTCCATAGGATTAAACGCACCTGTCGCTGAGCCTGGATTGATATAAAACTTATTACCGTGTTCATACGCTTCGAATTTATATGTATGTCCTGATATCAATATATCAACATCTAACTGACGTTGAATTAATGCTAAAGTTTCTGGATCGCCACGCGGCACCACTTGATGACCATGGCACAGCCCAATACGAAATTGACCAACCGTCACAACTTTCTGCTCTGGATAACTGAGATTTTCATCGAAATCACCACGTACAATATGTACGTCATTGGCTAAAGTCTTTAAGTAATCGTATGACTCCTTCGTACATAAATTTCCGGTGCATAGTATATGATGTATACGACCTGGCACAAGTAATTTCTTAAATTTTGCTGGTAAACTACTGCAGCGATGGGGTATATGTAAATCACCAAGTACAAGCACAAGCATTTTTTAACGTTATGTCAGTTTAGTTCTCGATTATAATAAAAATATAACTTTTAAAAATTCTATTTAATATGTTTTGAGAATAAACGCCCAACAATCAAGTTTAGAATCAGCTGCTTTTGACATATGTTAAGCCAAGCAATCTAAAATTGCAATGGGTGTGTTCAATTTAAGACTTTAATAAAATTCTTATGTTTAAACTAGTACTAACATCCATTTTGCACGAAAAATTGATATGAAACTTTATATAAAGAATTATTTTTCATTATTTTTCAAATATGTTAAATGCTTTTCTTTGACATAGTGTTTTTTGTTGAGTACAATATGAAATATTAAAATTGTAAACACTTAAAATTAATTAATTTAAATAAAAGAAAACAAAATGAATATTAGAAAGGCAATGGCGAGCATTTTTATCTTTTTAAATTATTGTTATTAGTTCAAATTTATTAGCAAATGAAATGCTTATATGAATTTAACGGATGACTAGAATTTTGCAACATGTTTCCAATGAACATTCATTCAATAAAACCTAATTCTGAAGATTTCAAGAGCTTTATTTTTTCTTCACATGTTTTTTTTGCATATGTCGCAACATTATTATAAATATAAACACTTTGCATAAGTTTGTATGTTAGTAATTTTATTAAAATATATTTGAAAAACTGTTCAACACGTGTGGATAAAATACAAAAAAATTTAAATATGTAAAATTTATTATAATAATAATTGTATTAAAATATATTCGAAAATATAGTCATTATTACTTACATAATAAATTAAACTCTTTTCAACTCTTTTTAAACTTATCCTTTACACAATTTGTTGAGTACAATTTGGTACAAAGTAGGCAAAAACTCCCATTCCTATTTGATTCAGAATAAGGAATTTTTGAATAGGGAATAGGGGGAAAAACTGTTAATTCCATTTGATTCAGAATAGGGGTGTTTATGTTAACTACCATGTTTGTTGTAAGGATGATTAAAAATTGTTCAGAAGGGTGGGATGAGGATAGTGGTTAAGTAGAGGTAAATCACAGGTAAATCACATGTCAACAATTTTGATGATTTACAAAAAAGTGATTTTTTATTGAATGAAATGTATGTAGTTGATATTTAAATAAACTGGGATAAATAAATTTTCTTGGTTTTTGCGCATGGTTGGATGTGAAATTTTAAGAAATCTTTCAAATTTGTTCGTGTTGGCATGCACTGAATGCACCTTGTAAACATTTATAAGGAAAACATATGTTTTAAATGATAGCAAATTTTCAAAAGTAAACGAACTATCTCTGGTAGGGCTTGCAATTGCTAGGTGAAACTGGATGAACATATTCTATTAACTGTACATATTCAACAAGAACACTTAAAGTACTAATTTTTAAATAAATAATTGAATTTGTTTAAAATTTAAATTGTTTTGATGTCAATCTGTCAGCATTAGACTTTCGAAAGTGGAATGTTGCCTTTTCTCGCAGCAAAGTGGCAGGCAGAATGCAGCTATTTTGATCTGACTACTTTAAAACATATAAGTTAATTGCATATCTTACATTTCATAGTGTAACTAGAACATTGGAAATGAAATATATATCGAATTTGGTCAATTTTGTGTGTGCATTTGAGTTGGACGACTATGAGAAAAGATGGACGACTATGAGAAAAGATGGACGACTATGAGAAACAAAGTTGCAGTTGAAGCACACGTTCGGGATGGATGACAAGTAACTGTTCAGCACGTGGTTATGTTCTCATCGCAATTAGAGGACAGTGCCTGTTGCATAATGAACACTTCTTTCATCTCTAGAGATATTAGGCGGAGGCATTATTGTTAAATAACTGTGATCTCAAAGAAAATTCTGCCTCACCATGGATGACGAAAAGCTTATACTGATATTTAACCTTATTGATGTTATCTTCATCGTAATAGGTGTCAATTGTATATGTATGTAATGTATGTTATAAAAGGAGATATTGTCTGGTTGTGCTTCTTAATGAGGGCCATGTTAGATTCCGCATAAAGGTGGTTAAATCGCAACATGACGTTATGATTTGAAGTATAGTTTTTTTTAATATAATTAATATGCGTTTTATAATATCGCGTGGCTGTCCAATTAAGAAAAAATTAAGCTACTATATAATAATAATAAACGCAATTAATGTTTCACCTCGGAAATTTAATATTTTTTTTGAATTTAATGATCCTCCACTTTCGTCTTCTGATGGAACGCAAGAACACTTCATTCTGCTATTGTGTTACTAAGGTCGTTGTTCGAGATCGTTAATACTCCTTTTTATTTATGATTATTGATAAACAAATGGAGTATAGCTCTGAAATAATTTAAATTTGTAAAAATCTTAAACCTGTCCGAAGTATTTCAAGACCTTAATGTTTCAATTATTTTATTTTGTTCAGAAGATTAATTTTGATTATACACCCAACTATATACATTGGAAAGATACGTTTCAATGAAACCATGTAAAAAACGAATTAAATACAGAAATGCTGCTTACAGTAAAATAAAATTAATGGCAGTAGAGCTTTGATGTGGTTAGCTGTAGTACTATCATAAAACCAGTGACGATTCAAAAACCAAGTTATGTAGTGCGGTTCGGACTGCCTTTTGACCTTCTGGATTATGAAGTATTTCTTATGAAGTATTTTCTTACCAATAACGTATTTCAGCATCGCAACGATTTCCTGTAGAATGTATTCTTAAGGTGAGATCTGCTATTTAATAGCATTACATGAACACCGTGGGTAATCCAGCAGACTGTGCCATAAGAGGTCTAACCTTTCAGCAGTTCAATAATCATAACGTATGTGGAATTTCCGGTGCGGATGCAGTATTCAGAAGAAGTTTGACAGAAGTTGATTTAGATTTTTTGTTGTCAAACTTATACAGGGTGGCTGATGAAAATTGCAACAAAGTAAAACGCTCTATTTTGTTTATTTTTGGTAAATTTTGAATTTGCCAAAATGTTAAAAATGTCCAATTAACAAACATGCAGGTGTCGCAATTATTAAATTGCTCAACTTTGCTTACAGTTCTATTTGCGAAGACTGCCTGAACTCAATAATTTCCTTAATAAAACGTTTCTGCGATGTATGCAGAAAATTGCATTTTGTATAAATTGAGTCATATTAACAAATTGCATTATTTTAGGGTATCTGGTCAAAACTAGATACACAATATGTTACAACACTCTACTGAAAGTGTGGTTCTTCATTTAGTGAACTAATTTTCAAGATACTTAAGAGATAGGTATGTACCTACGGCTTGGCGGGAAGTTAGGGTAGTTTTTAATCTGAAAGCGGGATAGCTTAATCACTTCTCTGTAAAAGATTATACCCCAATTAGTCTCTCCTCGTTTATTTTGAAATCATTAAAGAGACTTATCGACTTGTGTATTAGAGGAAAGACCAGCATCCGCACAATGGACATTGCACAACATTCATACCGTAAAGGTATGTCGGTGGAAAGTCATCTCCATGAAGTGGTTGGCATCTTTAACACGTTTTGTATGAAATTACAAAAACAACTACCTTATATGAAAAATGTATTTGAGATTGTCTTGGGTATCTCCGGAGGAATCAATAGTACGTCTCAAGAAGACTTAAATATAATATTACATGTCCTACCAACATGGGAGTTTATTCAAAACTGTGTTGCCAAAATTGCTCTCTGGCTCTGAGAGTCTAAGATGTGAAAACCAACTAATTATGGACACCGTACAATTTTGGAGGAGATGAAAAGGGTCGTGGCTCAGTCAAGACGGATGTAGATTATGCTACAGACATGACACCAATACTAGACGGATGCACCAGAACTCCTATTCTCTGTACAACCAGAAATAGCTGGGAGCTGGAATCTATGGCAGGTAACACTGGAGTTACCATTTACACAGATGGTACTGATGCAGGGATCTTAAGTAAGGCAGTCCTACCGACTCCCTGATACTTGCAGCGTCTTTCAGGCCGATATAAATGCTATTGAAAAAGCGGCCAATCTTATACAACTAATTACAATTTTGTCGATAGTCAGAGAGCACTGAAAGCAATTGAATCCAAATCGGTATGGGAACTTTCAATTGCTGAAAGCAATTGAATCCGAAACGGTAGGTCTCAATAACCACAATAACAATGAAACCTTTTGACAAGTGAGGTAAGAGCTCTAAATCAGTATCACTTACGAGCATTATGTTTCTATCACGTAACTTGGTTTAACAGACCAAAGCTTAGGATATGTTTTCTATTGTATATGAAGTAGAATTCGTGAAAAGCGTATTGATGATTGAGCATTAGTTCATTTTCTATTATATAGTAAACAATTGCAGTAATAATGATAAAACAGTACCTTGGCGAGGGTAGAAGAAAAGCTAGAAAAGCAATTCTACAAACTAGAAATGTCAACGATTTTGCATCTCACAGGTGAGGCTTTCGATGTTTTATCCCAACTATAAGAAAAACCTGCGCTATCAAGTTTAAGTCGTATAAGCTACACCAAAGCAAGAAGTAATCGTCGGTATATGCTATGTAGCAGTGACGACACCCTAACATCCTAACAACACCCATATAGATATAATATTTAACTTATATATGTATGTATTTAAATTAATAATTTAATTGATTTAATATGTTATTTTGTTAATGAATTGTTAATATTATATTGTGAATATATTGTTGTAAAAATGTAATATAGTTATTATTATTAAAACATCCGCACACCCTTCTAGATAGGGCACGCATCGCCATTGGCGCACAGTTATATTTTCGTGACGAAATGAGATTATTCGTATGCCCAAAAAAAACACCTTATATGTTTCTATTATAGTTTCGTCAAAATATCACTGTCATATATTTCGCAAAAGTATTTGATCTTTCAATAATTTTTATTATTATTTTCATACTCCATTTGGAGCATAAGAAATCTATAAAAGTTTTCCACTGGTTTCTATTTTTGCTATTGCTCTCAAGTCGTTAAATAATTTGCTCGTCTCCTCTTGAACTGTCCTTCTCCAGGCCATTGCTGGTCTGCCTCTGCGCCTCTGCCTAATCCCCTCGGGGTTCCAAGTAAGTACAGCATGCGCGATATCTTCATAAGGCGAAGCGAAGTGTGGCAGGTTTAGAGGTCACAGGCTAGCAA